TTGGCTGTGTACCAGACATGTCGTGACCTGTGGGTAAGGCTCTGCTTTGGATGACGGTCACGTGCCGGATCGCAGTGTGAAAATTGGCTGTGTCTCGTTTTCCTGTGTGTTGTGTGTGTGTGTGTGTGTGTGTGTGTGTGTGTGTGTGTGTGTGTGTGCGTAAAGATACTACAGCCATGCAGGGGTGGTGTGGGTATCCGGTATGGTTCCACTTTTGTACACTGTGCTGGCTGTAGTGGTTAAGAGACTTGGCTTGTGGCTGAGGGTGCCCGTTGGATTCCGTGCGTGCACAGAAGGGTCCGAGATATCAGAAAGTAGGGACTGCTGACTTGCTGTTGGTGATTTTACCTTTGCTTGGTGTGATACCCCGTATGGATGATCTCACTTCACTCTTGAAGAATGTTATGTTCTCGCTATTAGTGTCATTATTAGTGCTTCTCCTCGTCTTGATATAACCGTATCCTTGTGCAGTTAGTGCTTCTCCTCCTCTTGATTAACCGTATCCTTGCGCAGTTTTACTACATAATTATTCTTGCCTCTTTTCGTAGAGCTCTCTCCAGTTGTGTTGTTAACCATCCTGCTATTGGTTTAACGATACATTCATCCTTTTTTTCCTCCTTTTTTTATTCATCCTTTTTTTGGTTGTTATTTGTCGTGGCCGGTTCCTGTCCCTCTCTCTCTTTGAGTTGTCATGCAGTTGTTGATCTGAAAAGGTTTGAACTTTACAGTCGTAACTCAACATTTGAATCTTGAGCAGTTTTGTGGTACTATGCGAATGTTGAACCTGAAAAGGCACTCGAAGAAAGTTCATTCGAGGACTTCTGGAGAGTTCCAGGAGTGAATCTCTCCCTTGTCCTTGCCTAAGTAGCCGCTTGATACTGGTTGGAATGCTAGATTTAAATCGCCAGTACGCGGGCCCAAGCTTGATGAAAATGTTTTTGCCCCTGGTCCGAAGAAGTTGACGTCGGAGCGCTGTCCATAAATACATCAACGGCCTGCGTCGCGTTTCGGTCAATGTGAGGCGTGTAGTGGTGGTTTAAGACCACATAAGATGCTAAGTTAGTTGTCGGGATGATGCCTGATGACACTAAACGTGAGATCTTCTACCGTCTTCCCCTGAACATAATGCGAAAAAAATCGATGGTTCAAATAGAAGTTATAGAACGAAAAAATCGATGGTTCGAATAGAAGTTATAGAACGCACATGCGTTGTATTCGAATATGCCAGCTGTTTGACAAGAATGCATGTGCATTGTATTCGAATAGAAAGCAACCTGTTTGTTGTATTCATTTAGAATACATTTGCGTTATGTTCGGGAAAGGCGGTAGCCTGCAAGAGCCGGGGATAAGACAGGATAGCATGGTGCACAGGTAGAACATTGGTCACAGGTGAAGTGTGTGAAACATATTTGTCCAAAGACTACTAGAAGTAATCTGCCATGCTGATCAGCTGCAGGCTTTCACTGTGTGCAAACGTGAGAGTGGGGCGTTCTTGGTTTACAATTGAAAATGCCACGTTTACAAAAGAGAAAACGATTATTTCAGTTTTGTCCTTAGGGCTGGGGCAGTGTCTTCAATTCGCTTAGAATCATCTCAATTTTGGCTGGTATTTATAAGGGTTTGCTACACTTGTTTGCTCTTTGCAGGCTCTAGAACGAATGGGAGAGGTCGAGGCTGTTATCAACGACCCTGAGTGAGTTCCATGTCTTACTGTTGTGTCCATGGTGAAATGCTCTTGTTTTTTTTTTTTCTTCTTCTTTTTAGCTGCAAAAATGCTTCGTAAGATTGCTGAACGCTGGTAAAATGTCTGTGATTTCCATGCGAATGAAATTTCATTATAAGCTATATTGTGGCCTTGATGTGGTTTTGGTGCGTTCAGAACGTGGGTCTGAATTTGCCCAGGGTCTTCAAGTGCCCACTCTGGTTTATGGGCAGGCACCTCCTACTCAAATCACATCTCCTGTTTCTTTTTCCCCTCTGTGTCCCCCCCCAACCTGTCTCTTGTTTTGGTGTAGGTATGCAATCAGACTCGACTTCTTCACACTTGTCATGCATGCAAACAGCGAAACAGCAAACTGGCGACATGCGCCCACACATATCGTAACCAGATATGGGTTCTCTTCCCACTGGCTATGGCGACTGTGCGCCCATACAACTCACTGTTCACACTCGAGATCACCCTGGATGTCCCACACGCACACTCGGTGTTCATACCCAACACACACACACATTACACACACTCTGCACTCTACAGTGAGCTATGGCAGCTATGGCTGCCGCTACATATCGCTATGGCTACAGTGCTTCACTCTTGCCCCCTTCGTCTTCGGGCCTCCAGCAGACCTCCTTGCACTAGACGCTGTGGCAGCGCTACCGCATGGCTTCCGCCTGAATGAATGAATGGCTGGACGCAGCCTCTTGATTTATACTTCTGCGCTGCGTTGGTCTGCCCTCTACCCCTTGGCCCATGATGTGCACAGTTCCAGATGGTACTTGCTTGACTGGACCGGACTGGGCTACCTGGGACTGCTGACTGGGCTAGGTGGACTACCACCACTTGACCACTTGCCTCTGCTGAACACAGGCCAACTCCGAAAGGCCAGTTCTAGAAACCTCTATGTTGGCCCTTCGGTACTGTAGCAGCTACGAATTTGCCCTTTCAGGTAAGTAGCAGCTACGACCTTGACTCCTCAAGCAGCCTACAGCTACCACTTCGGAACTGTCTAGACTCCTAATCTATAGGTCTACAGTTCGATTCCCTTCTACCCTGTGACCTACGACAAATTGCCTACCACTGGCGTTCCTACAKGTCGCAGGTTCAAGTCTACGGGTTGACACTGATACTGTACACAGGTAAGACGGGGATCTAGGGATCGAGCCCTGGGATCTGAATTCGCTACCGCGAACTGGTGAATACCGTTTCAGGTAAACTACAGAGCCCTTGGGACCCGGAAAATTGCTCTTGCTCTTCAACCTGTTTGTTGTTTTTTTTAGGCAACGTACTGAAGCATTCCAAACTGACGTTGATAAGAAATTCGTCTCCTCGGCAGTAGTGAACATAGGACTAAAACGCATCGATCAAGTACATAACGAGGTAGCAGCAGATGAAATAGCACTATCGGTCCCTTGCAAGGATGGTACTGTGATTTGATGCAATTGATGTGTCACTTGCCGGACTGGTGGCTGAGCTATAGTAAAACAGAGAAAGAGAGAGAGAGGTCTGACTGATTATCATGTATACTGCAAACAATTGGCCGAGGTCCACCACGGTTCTGTATGTTATCAGTAGGTGAAAGGTGGTTGGATTTGCTGCCGATGCTTTTCTGACTAGCGCAAGAAATGTCAATGTAGGCCACCTATTTCTGACTCATGCATTCTGTGCTGTTGATCATTTTGTGTCCCTTGCCTCATGCAGCTATGTGTTTCAATTTCCTTCACCAGATGATAGACCAGGGCCGCCAATCATCAGTTTCATGTGAGTGTTTAATGGCGAATGATCATTGTATGTGTCATTTTGCATGTGTATGTCGGTGTTTTTCTGTTTTTTTTTTTCCTCATTTTTTTCTCCGAACTGTATGTCAGTTTGTATGACCATTGGCAGGCTGATTTGCATCCACATATATGCATCTGACTGTAATTGCAGACTAAGAGGATCCTAAGACAAAAACATTCGTGTATGTATCTGTCAGCCTGCTCGGAGATGCATGTTATTAGGGCAATCATGCCCAGAAATGAGCGATAAACATGTCCCCGTGTGAGTATGACATGACAGTCGTATATATGCTTGCTTGGAGACGAAGGGCTCCTTTCATCTTCTTTTTGCCCTCTTGCTGAGTGCCACTTCATTGAGTTCTGTCGATTTGGATATATTCTGTCCGCCTTTTTGATGACGTTCTCCGAGTTGGTACAACACAGTAGGTATATTCTCCTTTCTTCCTCTGCTATAGCTGGTCTATCGAAGAGGCAGGATGTTCATGAACTTGCACGCTTGAAAAGAGGTAGACTAAGTCCTTCTGAACATCCATCAAAATTGGGATGACACAAAGAAGATTAGCATGGCTCCTGCACAAGGAGGACAAATCAATGGAGAAATTGTCAAAAAAAAAAAAAAAAAAAAGGCACACCATGATGGATGGTCCATGTAGTTCCAAACTCGTCTTTCTTCTCAGCATCTCATCTTCAGGATCTTCACATGGCATTGCCCTCAGCCCTCAGACTGTCTTGGGAGGTGGAGGAGCTCATGTACTTTCAAGAGGAAGTTTGGGAAGGGCTATCGAAACCTGGGGTTGGGTTTTCTAAACCCAATTACGATCCGATATAGACTCAAGGTTGGGCTATCTGTGGTGTTGTGCGCTGGTCGGTGGGTGAATGAGCTCAGGCAGTCTTCGAAAGAACAAATCGAAAAATCGGGAGCTCGTATCCTTATCACAAGGAACTGTGAGAAGGAGACCTGCCGACTTGTAGATTGGAACCATGGCTACCGCAGACCTGGACGCCTGACCTAAAATGCTTTGTTTATGCTTTTGAGTCTTCTGTTGAACTTGGTCTTGAATTTTGAGACGAGCCCCAGGCAAAACCTGTTCATCGTCCTTCGTGACAACCGTTAAAGTTGGAAATGATATGGAGAAGATTAGCATGGCCACTGTGCAAGAATGACACACGGAAATGGAGAACCGTTCTAGGGATCGCCTTTCAGGCAACTCCATGCTGCTGCCATTGCAGAAATGCGGGTGTTCAACGGTCCCTACAGGAATTTTACAGTGATTCGCAGTATGTTGCCAAAATTGATTTGACTATCAGTCGATCCGAATCTGACACTTGACATTCCGGGCCCGGTCTACTCTAATCCAGGCCTTGTTGTCCCAGAGAACCTACCGTTTTCTCATGTCCTTCCTGAGGCCTCTATGGATTTGCTACCCTATGACCTACTGGATTCATCACACGCGAAGGGGTCTCAGTTGTTTCTTCTCTATTTGTTGTGTTCCATTGTTTGTTGATGAGCGATGCAAGCTGTCTCTTATACACATCTAGATGTGTATAAGAGACAGGCTCTATGGATTTGCTACCCTATGACCTACTGGATTCACGTGAAGGGGTCTCAGTTGTTTCTTCTCTATTTGTTGTGTTCCATTGTTTGTTGATCAGCGATGCATCGTTTGGCTATCCTGGAGGAGAACTTCTCTTCAAGAACTTGAACTTCGGTATAGATTTGGACAGCCGTCTCGCAGGTGTGCTGAAAAAGTGCCTGCCCTTTCTGCTGCTGTTTCTACGTCTCCCTGAATTGCCCGCCCCTTTAAATAAGCGCTCTGATGCACTTTCGAAGTCGCTTCCCTCAGCAGTGAATGGGTTCGATAAAAAAAAAAGTTGTTGGACAGATCTAATTCATTCATGTATTGCATGTGTGCAGTCTGATGTGTGATGCTGGAAATGGCCATACATGGTGAGCTCCTGAGCTCTGTGCAGTCCGCTGTCTTGTTCGTAATTCACCATGCCGATGCATGTATTACATGTGTGCAGTCGGCTGTCTAGTTCATCATGCGCCGTTTGGTGCTTACTACCGTCATGATCTTCGTGACTTCTCCTGGTCATCGCCTTATCTCGGTTGCTGAGAGAACGAGACAGTGGTGATGATGACAATAATTTTGACCCACCAGCACCAGCAGCAGCAGCAGCATCTTAGTCGTCATTGATGACTGTCTCGCTCCATTGCCGAGTCTGTCCCTCCGATGGGTGACTGCTTTTGGTACCCCCACTGGCTTTTCCTGCTGCCTTCTCGTTTCCATCGCTGGAGGTTCAGCTTTGGTGGGGCATCAATCTCAGCAGCGGCGCGGATTCACCTCTCTTTGCTGCTACTAGCTGTCATATGCCTTGGCCATTCACTGTGCATTTGCAGTTGCCGCTTGCGTGCCTTAATACCCAGTCACCCTTCTGCATTACGAGTGAGGCACAGTCTACGTCGTTGTCTGAAGGACACCAGATTTTCTGTATAGATCGCTCTCTATGTTTCCCAGGTAATGTGCAATGATGTGAGCTTCTCGTTCACCATACTGTTGCTTGTGTCTTTCTTCAGCCAACTTCTCACCAATGACTCTAATCACGTTTGCTCCTTCCCTTCCCTTGTCCTTTCTTGTTTTTTTCATCCCTGCATTGTATCACCCTTTCCCTCCTCGCTGCTCCTTATGCCCTCCCATGGGATCTACATGCCGTGATGCTAAGATGCCCATATGAAGCCTTTTGAAGATAAGCTTGTGCAAACTTGGATTGTCCGTTCATCCAGCTGAGGAGCTCGCTTGCCCAAGGAGGTTTGATTGCTTGCACATGGAGGTTGATTCCTTGTGGTTGGAGGATGTCCAGCTTGTTCCGACAGGCATCCCACCACCGTGCTTTTAGTGCATTGCATCTGCTGACACTTGATGGAACCGATTCATCTACCCGCCTCATCTACCTGCCTGCTCTGGTTCTCCAGGAGGAGCCCAACTGCACAAGACACCCTAACTGCAGCTTGAGCGGTCCAAACTCTGAGGTCAAAGAGAGGCCGTTGCTGCGTTTCATAGTGCAGCTTGGCTATCCTAAAATCCCAAATTGCAAATTCTCTCCCAACAGTTGTTGGGTCGGATTGGAGGTGAAGGGACCACACCGGATGGGAGGGTGGACACCCACCTGGGATCGTATAGCATTTGGTAATTGCAGAGGGCGTTGTATCGTTCTGTCCTTCACTATGGCCGCAAGGGCTGCAATGAGGGCTGCGGAGGTCTTTAGGTGGTGGCAGCGGCTGTCTCATGTAGTCGGGTCCTTTGTTACGGTGGCAGAGGGCTCCCTGTTTGATTTGTTATTTCCCTTTGCCTTTAAAAATGGGGCTTTGCACGCTGGGTGTTCCTCTCCAAAACAATGACATAAAAACAATGACATTTCAGTCCAGTGCATGTGGTGATGGAATGAATTTGTCATAGTTCTTGTCTAGGTTCAGGTCAGACTTTCCAGGCCAAGTCTGAAACAGCAGCAGTTGTGTTTTTTTTGGGGGGGGGGCCTGAGCGTGGCATAAACTACAATTTTGCTATTGTCACCCAGTGTGTTTTCCCAGGGGAGGAGCGGGAGATTTGACCTTCCCTGTTTAAAGGTGTGAGCTCTTTCGCAATCACGGGTTATGTGCAGGGTGCGTCCTCGGCCGCGCACGCATCCACATGACGTGCGGGAATGTTATATCACAATGTGGAAAAGATTTGTTCATTGAACTTTTATGTAACATGGTAATGAAAATTTTGTGCTTTTGAAAAAATTATATTCCATCTCCCATAAATACACGAAACAAGAGTCCCTTGGGACGTTAAAACTTTATATTGGAACGATACAGAGAAGGTTGGCATGTCCCCCTTATCAAGGATGACACACATAACTGGAGAAACAGTCCGAATTAGAAAAAAAGAAAATATTCCATCTCGTGCATTTCTGACATTACGTACCTGAACTTCGCCATTACTGTTGTGCAGTGGTTGGCTCCAATGGTATAGGAAAGTCGACTATGCTGAAATTAATTTCAGGGGAGTTGGAGCCAACATCTGGAACAGTTTATCGTTCTCCGAAGGTATGCTGTTCCCCTCCTGTCTGTTCCCAAAATGCCCTATCTGGAAATTCCTCACAGAACCTTTTGCTTGACGAACAAACTTTTCTTACTGTCAAGCATCTCCTCTCAACGCTGAGCAGAGTTTAATAGCGGTATTCCTCACAGAACCATTAATCAATTTATTCTCGTCAACGGTTAGCTGAGACATGTCTGTGTCTTCGCCTTACGGAGCAGAGTTTAATAGCGGTATTCCTGTGGACCGAAAATGGACATTGCTAACATGTCTGCAATATTTTAGATGATGTGTGTTCGTGAAAATCGTTCCTCCTATGCTTTCCTCCTATTTCTCTCATGTCCCTCCCACGACTCCATTTCTCACCCTCGCTTGACTCCTACTCATGATGCATCCGATGGGCTAGGAATGAGGTCAAGGATTCTTTTTTTTGTTTTTTTAATAAACAGGCACAAACCCCTTCTTAGGGCCAATGGAACTGTGATCTAGAAATTGAGTTGTGTAAGGGCCCTTCAGGGTTTGTTTGCATGGGATTGATGTAGAAATTCTGGTCTGCAGCATACTTCCGTCACAACTGCGCGGTGCGCTATACACTGTGCGCACGTGGGTGATGCGTCTGCACCGCGTGCACGTAGGCATTGCGCTGGGGTACACCCGACTATGCACCTGCATGTGTGTGTGTGTGTGTGTGTGTGTGTGTGTGTGTGTGTCGAAATGGCCCCTACAACTCTACGAACTAGAAAACAAGACGAGCTTGCCAGATACATCTTCTTTCCTTTCTACCTGATGTGGACTAGCTGCCTTTTGCAGAAGGATGCACTCGCTTCGTTTCTTTAGGATGTTTGCTCCCAGTATCTCGAGGAGAAAATGCTCTTATCCACAGATACAAGGGATTCAGGTAAGTCCAAATGGGCCCTCATTTGTTTCCGGTCTTTTTCTTGAAGCGATTCTGATGGGCTGACACCCATCAGATGACGGCCTTGGTTAACCACTCACCAAATGTGCTAAATGAAAATGAATCTTCATCCAGAACATGGAAAGATACACTGCCAAAAGGTTTGTCTTCTGTGCAGTGGTGAGCGAATGGGCATTACGCCACCGCTCACCACTGCACGAAAGAAAAAGCTTATGGAGGTGTACCTTTCCCTGTGCTCACCAATCATTCATGCTCATTTCGAACATTTGGTGAGTGGTGGGCTGAGGGCCTTATCTGATGGGGTTGAGATCAGTCAGAAGCATGGCAGGCCTGTGGCAGGAAAGTTGGAACACCCCAACAACGTGCCTGCTCATGACCCTAAAAGAGAAAAAATGGTTCTAGGGAGAGATGCTCATGACCCTCACCAATGTTTTCGTGTTCTTTTTTTTTTTATTAGCAAAAAGCAGTAACGAGATCTGTTTGCATGTGTGGAAGTTGGCAGCTGATCAGTCAGGCGCTGCCGAAGGTCAGCAGTGCAACTCTGGTGTTCGGTACACAGAAGCACCAGAGATTGAGACAAGGCCGGAAATGCAGGAAGGTGGAAATGTGCAGGTTCTAAAACATATGTACCTCCCCCCCTCGTCACTTCAGAGGATGAGGATATGGACAAAGACAGGCTCAAATCGATTCATTGGCATGGAACGGATCACATGAGTGTTCGGTGCGCTTGTGTGTTAGCATGGTTGTCTCTGGAATCGTTTTATCATTTCGATTAAACTCTGTGCCTGTGTTGCCGCGTTCACATGAAAGAGGAAGGAATGCTGCGGTGGGGCTGCGATTGCTACGTGGTTAACGCTGAATCTCGTGTTATGATAATCAACTTTGTAACCCTGTTGTCACAATGACATGGTCGACAGTCTAACCCTTTTATGATCTGTGTCTATTCCCCCCCTGTCGTGTGCTCTTCTCTCCTTCCATTCCCTGTTTTTGACCCTTGCTGCCTACTGTTCACTTCTGCAACCAGGTTAGAATGGCTATCTTCAACCAACATCACGTGGATGGATTGGACCTTGCATACACGCCTCTTCAGTACCTGTCCAAGTGCTTTCCGGTGAGTACTTCTGGATGAATGGGCAAAACACGGCGGGACGCCCATCTATGTGTTTGATGATTGATTTTCGAGAGTTTCTATGGAATCAACTATCACGATCGTCAATCAAAAAAAAAGATTTGAAATATGTATTTACTTATTGTAGGTCTGTGTTTCATAGCTTTTTATGAGGTTGCACTGGGAGCCAGTGCTTGTTATATCAAATTCGCACCATGGATTTTGTCAGAAATGTTTGATTCTTCTTGGGGTTTTCTGTTTGATACTCTGACTGTGGTTATGTTAATTGTGGTCACTTTTGTCAGTAGTTTAGTTCATATTTATTCAATCTCATATATGTCTGAGGATCCTTTTTTGCCGCGATTTATGTGCTATTTATCTATTTAATCGGGCAGTCGCAATTTGATGCTTGGATGTCAATTTGGCGTCTCAAAACTGCCTCGACCGTCCCTGAAATCCCCTCTGGAACATATGGTTTTACGTTCCCATGTGTAATTTACTAATTTCATGTACGAGGGCCTGCAGGTTTGAATCTGTGATTGAGAGCCTCAGTGGCGAAATGGTTTGTTGAAAAAGGCTCTTTCAGGAGCTCTTGCACATTTGGACTCTGGAATGAATGCGTGCTAGTTTTCAGTCTGTCCCTCCACTTCTTTGTTTTCTTTAGCGATCTTCCTTTCGTCTAGTTTCAGTTGCCAAATCGGTACAGTATCCTCCCCCTTTTTCCTCCCCTTCATTTTGTTTTCGATTGGGTTTTCATCTCAGAGACAGGAAGCTATGTATGCGGAGGAGCTTACTGGTGGGCATGTTCGCGTGCTTTTGGCTTTTCTAAACAGGGTGTGCCTGAGCAGAAACTTAGAGCGCAGCTTGGTTCTTTTGGACTTGGAGGGCCATTGGCTCTACAGCCAATGTACACTTTGTCAGGTGAGTGCACTGCAGAATGAATATTTCCCTTGCTGTCCCACTGTATTCGCTAGACACAACTCCACAAAAAGGGTGACTGTGACAGACTGTTTCGTTCGGACTTTCACCAACTCATCATGAGGTTGACCTTATGTTTGTGTTCTGTTGTGTGTGTGTGTGTGTGTGTGTGTGTGTGTGTGTGTGTCTAAGACCGTCCCACCCAGACTAGTAGATCCAAAATTCAAATGTGTGTGTGTGTGTNTGTGTGTGTGTGTGTCTAAGACCGTCCCACCCAGACTAGTAGATCCAAAATTCAAATGTGTGTGTGTGTGTGTGTGTGTGTGTGTGTGTGTGTGTGTGTGTGTCTTAGACCGTCATCACAGCTACGTCCCACCCAGACTAGTAGATCCAAAATTCAAATGTGTGTGTGTGTGTGTGTGTGTGTGTGTTGTCATGTTCGCTATGCACAACTCCAAGAAAACAAGGCGCGGCCGTGTTAGACTGTTTGGTCAGACTTCATCGACTCGTCAGGAGGTTGAACCCTGACAGTCTACCCAGGATCCATCTGACTGATGGACAAGGGTTCCCCATGTTGCCCAGAGTTAGTGATATGCCTTACAGAAGTGGTCAACTTTACTAACACAGACTCTGCAATCGTGGCGGACTATCGGTCCAAATCCCTGACATGAATGGTGTTACGTCTGACAAACTAGAGTCACAGCCATGAGACCCTCTCCACACACCTGTGTGAGTGTGTGTCGGGTTGCGTCATCTTTGCTGCCTCGTCTCTGTCGGCGTGGAACGCATCGGCCCATGTGCGCAAAAGGCGGGACGAGGGCCCTCCGGCCATCTTTTGTGCACTTGTGCACTTGGCCTGATGCACTTGACACTGGCCTCGGTATTGGGGCGTATAGTGAAACTCACTACTAAGGCTAATGTGGAGGTGCAGACTCATTTTGAGGCGTCAGTAAAGTATTCTCCAAGCAGTTCTTCGCTGCCGTATCTACTATGGCGAGACAAGCTTGTTATTTCTTCCCCCTAACTCCTGACACGAATGGCAGTAAACTACCCGTCCTCACCCGAATAGAACTCCTGGTCATTATAGCTGTATTTGGTGCATTTTTCAGTCCAGATACAGCTATAATAACTGGGCGTTCTATTTGGGTGAAGACGGTAGTCAGCCACGGCCAGGAACCCACTCTGCACACCTGTGTGTGTGGTGCACGTGCATGTGCACGGATGCACATGTGCATTTCAGTGATTGGAGAGGACGACCAAAATGGCTATCGGTTTAGGTATTTCTGCCGGGATCTTCAATTTACTATCATGCATTAAGAGTGCTGTGTTATCCGTGTTGCCATCATCTCTGGCTGATGGATGACTTGACATATGCTATTCAGGCTTGTCACAGGGGCCCACAGTGGAAGACACTCCGCAGGTTGACATGGATATGCAGACCCTTCCGCTGCAGTGTTTCTTTTAGAATTCTCAAACATACAAGCAGTTGATCCATCAGTTTGTGCTAGCTTGGATAGGCTTGTTATCCCTCATGCCTCATCTCTGGCTGTTGGACGGTTTGACATATGCCAACTGGCCTTGTCATTGGGGCATACAGTGGAAGTCACTTCGGAGGTTAATGTGGGTGCAGACTCATCCATTGATGCGTCTCCAAAGAACTCTCCGACATAGAAGCAGTTGCTCAATCGGTTTTTCACTGCGCTAGCTCGTATTTTGTGACAAGCTTGTTATCCCTGCTGCCTCGTCTCTGGCTATTGGACAATTTGACTTATGCCATCTGGCCTTGTCATTGGGGCATACAGTGGAACTCACTCGGGAGGTTAACGTGGAGGCGCAGACTCCTCCATTGATATGTCTCTAAAGGACTCCGACATAGAACCAGTTGGTCCATTGGCTCCTCATTCTGCTAGCTTGTATGCTGGGACGAGCTTGTTATCCCTGCTGCCTCATCTCTGGCTTCTGGACTACTTGACATAGGACATATGGCCTTGGCATTCGGGCAAACAATTAAGGCGAACGCTTATTGGTTGAGTCGTCTCTAAAGAACTCTTCGACATAGATGCAGTTCATCCATAGGTTTTTCACTCTGCTAGCTCGTATGCTGGGACAAGCTTGCTATCCCTCCTGCCCCATCTCTGGCTGTTGGACGATTTGACATACGCCATCTGGCCTTGTCATTGGGGCAAACAGTGGAAGTCAATCTGGAGGTTAACGTGGAGGTGCAGACCCATCCATTGATGCATCTCTAAAGAACTCTCCAACATAGGAGCAGTCGATCCATTGTTCTTTCACTGTGCTAGCTTGTATGCTGGGACAAGCTTGGTATATGTGCTGCCTCATCTCTGGCTGTTGGACGATTTGACGTACGCCATCTGGCCTTGTCATTGGGGCAAACAGTGGAAATCACTCTGGAGGTTAATGTGGAGGCAAATACTTACCGGTTGATGCATCTCTAAAGAACTCTCCGACATAGAAGCCGTTGATCCATTGGTTTTTCACTCCGCTACCTCGTATGTGGGGACAAGCTTGTTATCCCTGCTGCCTCATCTCTGGCTGTTGGACGATTTGACGTATGCCATCTGGCCTTGTCGTTGCGGCAAACAGTGGAAGTCGATCTGGAGGTTAACGTGGAGGCGCATACCCATCCATTGATGCGACTCTAAAGAACTCTCCAACATAGGAGTACTTCATCCATTGTTCTTTCACTGTGCTAGCTCGTTTGCTGGGACAAGCTTGTTATCCATGCTGCCTCATCTCTGGCTGTTGGACGATTTGATGTACGCCATCTGGCCTTGTCATTGGGGCAAACAATGGAAATCACTCGGGAGGTTATACATGAGGACTTATGGGTTGATGCGTCTCTAAAGAACTCTCTGATGTAGAAGCAGTTGATCTATTGTTTTTTCACACTGCTAGCGTGTATATGGGGACAAGCTTGTTATCCCTGCTGCCTCATCTCTGGCTGTTGGACGATTTGACGTA